CTTTCCCCCCTCCCGCCTTCCCGCCTCCTCAAAGAATCTTTAATTTTACATTGTACATTCGATCATTCACTACAGTTTTTAGTACGCCAAAATTTTTGAACAGTATGCACTTCATTGAGATAATTTAAAACGTTTGAGAAAGGTTTGAGTAAACATTCGAAATTGTGAATGACAGTCATTGCAGTGTCAGTGCAGTCCGTTTCAGTTCACTGCCAGTGGAAGCCTCGCTGAAAAAATTAACTCGCCTCTTTGTAAGTTCTCTCTTTTCTTCCGTTTTGCTCATACGATACTCTTTTTTTTTCGTAGGACATTGAGCCTGGCGAAAATGAATGCTTTTCAAAAGGCATACAATCCGATATTTACCAACTTTGAATACATTACAGTTTATCAGCGCCAGTGTTACTAATCTTTTTTTTTTGTGTCCTTTTATAATCTGCATTATTATTTAGCATTCCCACGTGGACTTGCTGCGAACAGTGCACCTCGAATTGCTCGATGCGTCGAGTCGGAGCCAACATCACCATTCAGCAACTGTGCTATTCTTATCAAACAGGTTTGCTGCTACCATTCTGTGGAGTGCAGGTTTTCCTTTCCCTGCCGAAATTGAATTTAAAAAGTCGTAAGATAATGGCGCCTAAAAAAAAGGTTTTTTTCTCGAGGAGGGGGGTGGGGGGAGGGGGGAAAGAGAGGGAAATTGAGATGCAAGAGTTTTTATTTCATTTTTTAATTCGGAAATTTTCCCTCTTTTTGGCTTGCGTATAAACTATTGGGTTCGCATTTTTACTTATTTTTCAATATTTACGTTTGTGACACACTGTTGGATGCGTTGTACTGCCTAAAAAAGGGCAGTATGGTGTAACTTCGTGACTGCTTTAATCGTTCAGTCTACAGATCTGAGGAAGGAACCGTTCCAGTACACCGTCGAGAAAAATGCTCTCTCTTCTGTCAGCACCTTTGAAACTGTCACTTGTAGTGCATCTACTTCAGCTGACGTCGTTTGTTGACTCTGACGGCGATTTCTGGCCAATGGATTTTTCTACATCTCTGACTGTGAATCGTCCACTTTCTGCTCTTAAAATCTTCCTCTGCGTCAGTTCGGATGCTTTTTACTCACCCACATCGATGACTACCGTGTGTGTTAGTGTGTTAGTTCACCGGCCTCTTCACATGTATTAGTTTCGACAGTCTTCATGTGCTCACATCGACCTGCATGTGACTGAATCATTAGCACTGTGAAGTTCACATGTTTCAGGTCCGGTCTTCCTCCCTCTTCCATTCTTTCCACTCTTTCTATGCGGGGGCAGTTATCGGTATGTCTTTTACATTCAGCTGGTACTGCAAATCGTTTTACGAAGAGTTTAGGTTTATTTCTTTTGTTCATTT